CCCGCCGTCCCGTCGCCCTGCAAGGACGAAAGCGGATCCGGCACATCTGCATGGTCGGGGACCTTACAACAGAACGCATTTCATGTCGTATGTAGCCCGTCCACTTGAAACCACGACAGGGGAGTGGAGGACGTCTACGCACGTGCGCCGGCAGCTCAATCACACCAGAGAGTTGCACGCTGCCTGATTGGTGCTCGTCCAGGTGCTCGCCAGATCCGGAGCAGCTCGAGACGACGGCCATCTTGTTTCGTGCCCGCGAAGATAACCAAGATGCGTTCCAAGAGAAGCTGCAAGAGATCGAGGCAATCTTTGGCGACGAGGAGTTGGCAAGACAGCTTCGCTTGCTCGAAGAATTTACCGAGAAGGCCCGCGGTTCGGCAGAAGCGACGAGATCCTCGCCCGTCATTCCCGGGGCAAGTCCGGAAGAGGCGGCAGCCGCATCGGCTGCACCGGCCGAGTCTCCGCGCTGGGCTCTGACGATCAAGCCGCAGTGGTGCCGGAAGATTTTGGATGGCAGCAAGGTTTGGGAGATCAAAGGACAGAACTGCAAGAAGCACTTGCGCGAGAGGATCTGCATCGCCGAGTCCGGATCGGGCAAGCTGCTGGGCGAGATGACGGTTTGCGACAGCTTCAAGATCACCCGAGAGGACCTCGAGGCCAACCGACATCTGCACCGAATCGACGACCTTTCCATCATCAAGTACTCCAACATCTACGCCTGGGTCATCGAGGATGTGGAGGCTTACGAGCATCCTCGTCCTCACAACAGACGGCTGGGAAGTAGATGCTGGGTGGATCTTCGCCCCCGCCCAAACAGGAAGCGTGCCAAAATCCGGACTGTCGCTTCGGCGTGACGAAGCAGAACATCCGGGGAGTGGCCTATGCCCGCGACCACGACGGCATCAGGTTTCAGCATTGCGTCTTCTGCTCAGGCGAAGCCTTTCGCGTAGCAGTCCAGGATCGTGGCGGCCAACAGATAAGAAGATGGCTGACACAGTTGCAGAGGAGCGACGACGATCGCTACAACCGAGCACTGGAGCGTATTCGACAGGAACACGGCATCGAGATGATGGAACGCTTCCGCGCCGAGAAGCCCAAAGAAAGACCGACAAGAACAACTGTGACTACATGGAAGACTTCGCTGGAATATCGT